GTTTCGTCCCTTACACAATCGTCTGATCCCCTTTAATTGTTAGCGAGTTAACCCGCACGAAACAGTGTCACATTGACTAAGGTAGATTCTGTAAAGCGGAGCTCCAAATCATAAACTAACCAAATGAAACACCCAGCCCCGAATCCAACATTGTTTTATTCTATCATAGTTTAGTTCTCGATATGGGACCTGTAACAAAAAATTATTGGCATAGGTATCACATTGATTTCAAAATTATATCACTTTCCAATCCCATGTACCGAGGAATAAGACAGCATGTTTTAGTTAAAACGAATATGACAATCAAACAAAATATACAAGTTTTTAGCTCAAAGGGAGTGGGCTTAGTGTGGATTCCCGAGCTCTAATGCTAATTGATGTAGTACTATGACTTATGGCATTTGGACGAAGTGGTAATAATCCCTACATCAATTGCCACCACATTTGGAGGTCGCATGTTCAAGTCAATGGTAAAGTACTCCCATGGAGTGTATGCATAATGTAGGAGCACATTTGAAACGGTCCAAAGGAAGTGAGCTCGGGGTGGATTCTTGAGCTTAATTATATGTGATATATGATAGATTACATTAGTTCTATAGATATATGATAGCTTAATTCTAGGTGATATATGATAGCTTAATTTTAGATGATATATGATAGAGTACATTAGTTCTATAGATATAAATTTTGAGCAAAGTGACGACAGTAGCCTACATTAGTTGTGGATAATGTATGAGCACAAATTGAAATGAGAGTGAGTCCAAAGAGATCAAAATTGGAGTTGATTATTGGTTATATAGGATGAATTGCATTAATACCATGAGCTATAGCTTTTAGGCAATGTAGTGGCAATACCCTACAGAGCAATGATTTGATATTAGGGACGGAGGTCTTTTATTCGAGTTGGTGTTGGAGAATTTGTGTGGAGTGAGTGGATAGTACAAAAGCATGCTTGAAATGGGAGCGAGTCCAAAGGGGATGGGCTTTGAGTGGATTTCAATATATAGGGGTGTATTGGAAGTAGATATAGCTTCAACTTGAGCGTGGAGCTTTTCTTTTTTGACATGCCTACTTTTCTTTGTTCAACAAATTAGTGCCATGAGCTACAATTTTTTTGGGAAAATTGGTGACAATACCTTATATCACTTAGGCTTTGATTCAAAATGGAACTTCCACCTTCTTTTCTTTCATATTATGTTAACCTGATTCTGAAATTGCTTTGATGGAGAAAAGTGATTAAGTAATCACTTAATCATGAATCTTATGAAGAAATAACTTAGAAAATGAATTAGTCTTTGTTGTCCACTTGTCCCAATCAGTAATCAAACATCTCACAAAATCTTAGAAAATATTCAATTAATTTTAAGATTAAATTAATAAAAATAATTCAAATGAAATGGCGTCACAAAATCTTCTAATTCCTGAATATTGTTCTCCAATGTCCTATCATAACTTCTAAGGACATGCACATAGCAAAAGATCCCAAAAAAATAAAAGTGAAGGGATAGGGATGTTATTGGACTTCTCCCTCCTTTATAAGCAAGAAGATATCATAGAACAACCAATTGTCGATGCAAAGAAATACTCACTAATGACATCTAAAAAGGACAAACTTTAAACCTAGCCTAAGGAAAGGTGAAATGACCTTCCTCATGTTTTAACAGTTTAAAATGTGAAAAAGACTTCAATTGTCAACCTTCTACAAATGTTTCACTCATTTGCTTAAAGAATTTATTAACTCTGTTCTGATCCCCTATCCCACAAATACAGACCATAAGTGTAATGTATACAGAAATTCTCTGCCAGAATTTTCACAGAATACACATGGCAGCATCTAGTTATACAATGGCAATAAAATAAAATAAATAAATAAATAATTAGCTAGATGATGATGTGTCAACATTTGGTGAAATTTTGGCACCACAGCTTTTGTACAAGCAGAAAAATTGAATACAGACTAAACTACTATGCATAAACAAACTTCATTTTCACTCAGGTGAACACAATCCATATATGTCACAAAGCAGTGCATTGTTATTATATGTTCTTCATATGTGGGCCACATATAATATTTAGTAAATTCTATAACTAGTGTCAATAGTAAATTCATTATTTTATTATTACAGCCTCATAGTATATATTAGTCCCAACAATAACGACGACAACTAGAAAATTCTCTTATAGTGATAACTATAATAGGAAAAAAAATCTAAAAATAATAGAATTCGTAATAAAATCTGCAAAGGAAAAGGCCCATTTTATTATATTGGACATAGTTATTCTATGGAGAATTATCAATAAAATTAAAATTTAACCAACCATTATCTCTAGCATTCCCCTAAAATTCTGATATTCATTGTCTCCCAGGTAGTTACTCATCAAAACGAACTTCAACTCATACTCAAATACAATATGCAGGAGGTCGAGAACTAATATTTGTTCCTGGCCAGTCAAATCTTTCTAGAAAGAAATTTACCGTACAAGACATCTCCATTTGTAGCAGAAAGAAATTGGGGTGTGAAAATCAAAATGGTAAATTATCCTCTGATCTTTCACTCACCACCTTATTATCAAAATAATAATCAATGGGACTCCAGTGTTTAGGCATAAATATGTCCTAAAATTTTGAGAGCACTTCAGCAAACAAGACCCAATCAAATATATAACCTAGCATGGCAATCATTTATAACTCATCTTTTAGGTTTGGTGACTCAAATGTGTTAGGATTATTGTTGATTTAGAATTTGATCAAGTGGAATCCTAGAAATTGGTTAGAAGTCTTTTGAAGATACGTATTAGACTTTTACTTGGAAAAGGTTATCTAATTGCATCAACAAAAGGAGATAAAATTCTGTTGAAATTGGGTCTCCTAATTGTAATATATTTTCTTGTCTTTTAAGATTCTTCTAGAGTGGCCAATAAATACAAGGCTCCTCTGTCAGTTTTATTAGATGTAATAGATAAAATTCAATTGTTAGATTGCTTTCTATTTTCCATATTGTTGATTCAATAAGCATCGTTCCTCTACGTTAATCCTTTTGTTCCTTTTTACAATTTAAACATTGTTTTGTAATGTGATCTTATTTACTTCAATGTTGTCATTATAATTTCATTTTCTACAATCCGATTTGGAATCAACTTGTGTTATTGGAGCTTCCGCGCTCAACATCATCATAGATAACCAAAAAACTCGAATAGACAAGTGTTTTGTGTCTGCGGTGTTGGGTTTTGATACCCAATAAACCTCGAGTTATGATGTTAACGTGGGAATATATATAAATATATATATTTTATAGGCCGTGAATATATATTTCATGGGCTTCGGCTGATGAATGAAATAATTATAAGTGACCAAGTCCAAAAACTCTATCCGATCCATTTATATTATCTCTTGAATGACTTTAAATTTTGGCCTATTAAACTTCTAACTTAACCCTATTTATTAACCCTAGCTGTTTCAAAGTGTATTATTGTGTGAGAAAAAGTGTGCCTTCTAAAAAGCAAAAGTCTGATCGCCTTTGTGTTCAAAAACCGGTGGTTAGCTCCTTGATTTTGGTCTCTTCCTTGCCTCTTTTTATAGTGGTTTCTTCTTGTCATTGTGGCCACAAATTATCACCGTTATCTTGTCCTTTGTGGGTGAGATTAAGAAACAATCGAAGTGAATATATTGGTTGTGAATTGGAACCGATTGGATCAATTGTTTGATAGAGAAATATAACATTAAACTGAGCCCCAAAAATACTGTTTTGACGATCCTTGAAGCTTCCGCAACTTGTAGGATCCCATTGTCCTAAATGATTGTAACGCCCCGACCCGTAAGGACCGGAACGTCTCTAGATTAATTGTACTTTTTAGCCGTAAATTTTAAAAAAAATAGTTAAACTTTTAGAGAAAATTATAAAGATTTAATTTAAGAATTTTTTTTAAAAGAACAATAAATGACAACATAACTCAATACAAAAGAAACTAATTCCTAATGTCTTCAGGTGCGTGAAATTCTAAGCAAGAATTTAAAAATAAATGTTGTTGTTTGACTTCCCCTTTTTGCGCAGTAAGTTTTAAAGTAAACTCGTTTACATAGTAATCTAGGTCGAAATTTCATAAAACTTTAAGAGAAAGTAGGAAACTTCTCATAATACAACATATCCAAATTTCAGCTTTCGTCAGCGACATATAAGATGTTAAAATATTTTTCAAAACCTCGCAGCGATTCGATTTGGGAAGTAACCCAGCGCAGCATACTTAATGTAGCATATAAAATTTCGTAGATATTGGATTGATATGATTTTAAGTTTATTCAGTAGCTAATCCATGAGGCTATTAAATTCCACTAGTTTTGTCCAAAAATCCCAAGTAACGATTATGTTACGAATTTTTTAAATTCAATGGTAGAAACTGGAATTTTTCAGAAAACAGCAACACTATGTTTACTTAAGGTGACATATAAAATTTTTCCGACATCGGATTGATATGATTCTAAATTTATTCAGTAGCTAACTTATGAGGCTATCAAACATCATTAGCTTTGTTCAAAAATTCAAAGTAAAAAATTAGTTATAAATTTTTAAATCCTGAGTAGAAACTGAAATTTCTAAGAAAACAGTAACATTAACTAGTTGACATTTTTTTTTGGACGGTGTTTCGTAAGCAAATTCTAGATCACATATATATATTTTTAAACATAACCTATTCATAAGAAAATATTCGTAGAAATAGTTTCATAGACGATGTCCATAGAAAAGTAATTAATAGGAAACTTATTGGACTAATATTGAGCTTTCATTTCTTATGTGGGTCGAGCATGAGGGTCATCTATAGGCTAGGCTCTTAATGCTAGATCGTCACATTAAAATATGAGCCTAATTTCATTTTATTTTCTCGGGCTTCTACATCCTTTACACCTTAAATAAAATTTCGTCAACGAAATTTATCTTATGGATTGGCAAAGAGTGTCGGATATTTATCTTTAACTTTTTCTTCTTCTTCCCAAGTAGCTTCTTCTACTCCATGATTATTCCATTGCACCTTGACCGGTTGAATCTCCTTGTTCCGTAATTTATATACCCTTCGATCCAATATTCTAATCGGTAATCCTCATAAGATAAATTTGTACATACATCTGGGGATTGATAATTGACCACTTGATCAAGATCATGCATATATTTCTTGACCATCGATATGTGAAATAGGTTGTGAATTGATGATAGTTCGGGCGGCAAAGCTAATCGATAAGCCACACTTTCGATCCCATCAAGTATTTCAAAAGGTCCGATATAATGAGGTTGTAGCTTTCCTTTCTTGTCAAATCTAAGTACACCCTTTATTGGTGCCACTTTTAAAAAGACTTTATCTCTAACTTGAAACTCCAAGTCCTTTTCTCTGATATCTGCATAGCTCTTTTGTCTGTCTTGCACTGCCTTTATCCTAGTGCGAATCTTATCAATGGCTTCGACTGTCCTTTCAATGATCTCTAGTCCCAAAACTCTCTTTTCTCCGACTTCATCCCGATGAACAGGTGATCTACATCTTCTACCATAGAGAGCTTCATACGGTGCCATTTCAATAGTTGCTTAGAAACTGTTATTATATGCAAATTCCACCTAAGGTAAATAAGATTCCCAATTGCCTCCTAGATCCAAAAAACAGGCTCTTAACATATCTTCCAAAGTCTAAATGGTTCTTTCAGATTGACCATCGGATTGAGGGTGATATGTCGTACTAAAATTCAATTTCGTTCCCATAGCTACTTGCGAGCTCTTCCAAAACTTAGATGTAAATCTCGGATCTCTGTCAGACACAATGGATATGGGGGTACCATACAATCTTACGATTTCTTTAATGTACAACCGTGCCAACTGATCTAGACTGAATGTCATTTCCACCGGAAGAAAATGAGCGGACTTCGTTAGACGGTCCACTATTACCCATATAGCATTGTGCCCTCCTACTGATCTCGAAAATCCCACCACAAAGTCCATTGTGATATTCTCCCACTTCCATTCTGGTATATCCAATGGATTTAACAACCCTGCCGGTCTTTGATGTTCTGCTTTAACTTGTTGACACACAATGCATTTTGCCACAAATAGACCTATACTTCTTTTCATATTTCTCCACCAAAATGTATCTCGAATGTCTCGATACATTTTCATACCATCAAGATGTGCAATATATGGAGTGATATGAGCCTCCTCTAATATCTCCTTCTTCAAAACTTCATCCATAGGTACACAAATCCTTCCTTTAAACATCAAAGCCCTATCCGAAGCTATTCTAAAGTCTTTTCTCTTATCAATACCAATCTCGTTCTTGATCTTTTGCAAGAATGAGTCTTTACCTTGTGCCTCAATGATCCGATCTCTAAGAGTAGGTCGAATCACCAAAGTTGCTAAACGGGTGGTGACTTACTCTGGTGTGGCAACCATTTCGATTCATAAATTCTCCAAGTCCTTGATCAACTCCAACTGAGTAGTAGGTAATGACGCCAATCGTCCTACTGACTTTCTATTTAGCGCATCGGCAACAACATTAGCCTTACCAGGATGGTAATGAATAATACAATCATAATCATTTACAAGTTCCAACCATCGTCTCTGTCTCATATTCAATTCCTTCTGTGTGAAGAAATATTTGAGACTTTTATGATTCGTGTAAATGTCGCACTTCCCTCCATATAAGTAATGTCGCCATATCTTTAAAGCATGCACTACTGTAGCAAGTTCTAGATCATGCGTCGGGTAGTTCAGTTCATGTTGCTTCAATTGCCTTGATGCATAGGTAATCACTTTTCCATGCTGCATCAGTACACATCCTAAACCTTGTTTGGATACATCACTATATATAACAAATCCTTCCGAACCTTCCTGTATAGCTAACACGGGTGCTAAAATTAATTGTCGTTTTAGCTCCTGAAAACTCTACGCACACTTATCTGTCAATTGAAACTTTACTCCTTTCCTTGTCAATTGTGTCATTGGTCCGACTATTTTGGAAAATCCTTCTATAAATCTTCGATAGTACCCGGCCAATCCCAGAAAACTTCCAACTTCACCCACGTTAGTTGGTGTATTCCAATTAGTTACTGCTTCCACTTTTACTGGTTCCACTTCAATTCCTTGGGCAGTAACTACGTAACCGAGGAATCCAACTTGTTCAAGCCAAAATTTACACTTTATAAATTTAGCGTATAACCTTTCCTTACACAATGTTTCTAACGCCATTCTAAGATACTCTTCATGTTGATTTTTACTCTTGGAGTATATCAAGATGTGATCAATGAAAACTATGATAAATTGATCCAAATACTGATGAAATACACGATTCATTAAATCCATGAACACTGTCGGAGCATTTGTCAACCCGAACGGCATAACTGTGAACTCATAATGTCCATAACGAGTTTGAAAAGTTGTCTTGGGTATATCACTTGCCTTAACCTTCAACTGATGGTATCCAGATCGTAAGTCGATCTTGGAAAATACCTTAGCCCATTTCAATTGGTCAAATAAATCCTCGATACTAGGGAAAGGATATTTATTCTTGATGGTCAAACGGTTCAACTCTCGATAGTCAATACACATTCTCATACTTCCATCTCTCTTCTTTACGAACAATACAGGTGCGCCCCAAGGAGACACACTTGGCCGAATAAAGCCACAATCCAATAATTCTTGTAATTGAAATTTTAACTCCTGAAGTTCCTTTGGAGCCATTCTGTATAGAGCTTTGGATACTGGTGTCGCTCTGGGAACTAGATCTATTGTGAACTCCACCTGTCTATTTGGTGGAGTACCAGGTAGTTCTTCTGGAAACACATCCGTAAACTCTCGTACCACTGGTACGTCCTCAATCTTTATTGTCGTCTGTTTTTCTCCTGAGATGTTAACTAGAAACCCTTGGTATGTTTCTTTTCTCATCATTTTCTCGGCTTGCAAGGCCGATACTAGTTGAGATGGGGTTTAGTCTTTATTCCGAGAAAAGAGAATTGCTTTTCTCCTAGTTTCTGAAAAGGCACTTCCTTTTCTCTACAATGAATGGTTGCATAATTACATTCCAACCAATCCATGCCTAAAATCACATCGAAGTCTTTCATCTCTATCAGATACAAATTAGCTTCTAATGTTTTTCTTTCGATTTCAAGATTTACCGACCTAGTTAACTGATCTGTATTTAATGTTCTACCTGAGGGGACGCTAACTTCTAGTGTACTTTCTAACTTCTCACAAGTAATACTAAATTTAGCAATGAAAGACGTTGATACAAAAGATTGAGTAGCTCCCGAATCAAACAGTACATAAGCAGGTGTATTGAATATCAGTAAAATACTTGTTATTACGTTTAAGTTTTCCTCTGCATCCTTCTGAGTCAGTGTAAAGACTCGTGCTTTTCCCTTTTTGTTCTGATCACTATTATCATCCTTCTTTTGAGTGAAAATAGGACAATCCTTAGCAATATGTTCTGGCTTATCGCAGCAAAAACAAGCATTCTTCCCATACAAGCATTCACCATGATGAGGTTTACCGCACTTCAGACAAGGCGCAACTGTAACTACTATGGCCTTGCTAGCACTAGATCCGATGTTAGCCTTCTTATTTTGCCATTTGCCCTTTCCTTTGTCTTGACCATTCCACTTCTTCTTTCCAATATGCCCTCTATCTTGCTGGTTGTACAATTGACGGTGTTGCCCCACATTAGCCTTCTGATACCAAATAGTGTGAGTTCGTTCCAACATCTCACGATATGATGTGAAACAATGTGACATAAGGATCATGCTTAGGTCTGGGTTTAACCCTTGCTCAAACCTTCTAGTCTTCTTAATTTTCGTATCAACCAGGTGTGGAGCATATCTTAAGAGTTGATTGAACTTTTGTTCGTAATCAGCCAGGGACATATTACCCTATTTGAGCTGAAGGAATTCGCTTTCCTTGAAATCTCTTAGAGACTAAGGAAAATACTTGTCCATTACTTCCTCTTTAAATTGTTCCCATGTTAATGCCAATTGCTGCTCCGGGGTTCTAGTCTGAGACATTGAATCCCACCAGTAACTTGTATTACCAATAAACCTAAAATCCACACACTGAACCTTTTGGGCGTCGGTGTTGTCTATGAGTCGAAAAATTCGTTCTAGCTTACGAAGCCATTCCTCAACCACTAGTGGACCAGATGCTCCATCGAAGGTACGGGGCTTATGCCTTCGAAATAACTCAACCACCGAAGCATGAGCCGGGAGAGTAATAGAAGCTGGCGGTATAGGTGGAGCTAGGTTCTGATTCAACCTGTCAAGATCTTGAACCCCTTGTAGGAGATCTATTATCAAATTGTTCTGATTTGCACAAGACATTTTCCTAGAAATAAGATATAATATCTCACATTAACTTCTTTTTCCAAAACCAGGATTAGAATAGGGTATTTTCAGCTCGAACTAGAATTGATTTTTTTTTATTTTGTATTATTAAAAGTACTCTTTGAAATCAGGATATACAATAGTTCGACGACCTTTACTTCCATAATACTAAGGAAAAGATAACACAAGGAAAAGGAATCTAATTTCTAATCCCTATGAATCTTACAAATCTTCTTTGGTGGAGCTTCATCTTCGGAGGAGTCTTCTGCCTCATGCCCCGACTCTAGGTCCATCTCAACCTGTGGCTCATGCTCATGTTCATTCTCTAATTCCAACCCAAAGTCATTCTCATGCTCCCATTCGGGATCTTTCTCTGGGTCCGATTCAAACTGAGGTTCTGGCTCTAGCTCGGACTCAGGCTCAGTTACTATCTCCGGTTGAGGTTCTAAGCTCTCACTCCACCTATCTAGAAGGATCTGACAATATATACCGAATTCAATTGCATTTAGGTGCTCTGGAGGGTTACCTTCTAGCATCTCATCCCTAACTATGACTCCCATGATTCCCCCATTGAGGTGGAAGTAAGTGTATGAGGTTATTTACAGTCTCGATATGCGTGATCTCCAGTTATGCATCTACCGTCGCCATACATCTCTCGTAAATGTCATATATGTGTTCAACAAGCGGACGAGATAGGTCAGTCACGTAGTTCTCATAGGATTGAATAATGGACCTACGTTTCAAAGCTACTCTACAAGTCGTGGCCTTTCTAGTGGTCTGATAAATTCTAACCATGTCTGTCACATAAGTATCCAATTATGTATTATCTCTGTTAGTGATATCAACTTATACATTATGCTTTTAGGGTTTCAATAAAATAGCTAATCATCATTTCTTCATTTATATATAAACAAAATATAATTTACATAACATATTTCATCCTAAATATCATTAGCATTTTCATAGATTCAAACTTAAATGATTTATAAATCATGCTCAAAAAATAAAGTGGAACATTATTCTAGACCTTGGGTTCATCGGATGAGGTCCATTGATGGATGCAAGATGACATGGAATGCCTTAAATGTTTCACTTTCTCATCTTTTAATTATTTTTTATATAAAAAAATACGCTAAGTCTACAAAATCAACTAAACTCGTGCTCTGATATCACGCTGTAACACCCCGACTCGCAAGGACCGAAACATCACTAGATTAATTGTACTTTTAGCCGTAAACTTCAAAAAAAATAGCTAAACTTTTAGTGAAAATTGTAAAGATTTAATTTAAGAATATTTTTTTTTTAAAGAACAATAAATGACAACATAACTCAATACAAAAGAAACTAATTCCTAATGTTTTCAGGTGACATCCATGCATAAATACATTTTTGTTACGTGAAATTTTAGGGAAGAATTTAAAAATAAATGTTGTTGTTTGACTTCCCATTTTTGCGGAGTAAGTTTTAAAGTAAACTCATTTATATAGTAATTTAGGTCAAAACTTCACGAAACTTTAAGCGGAAGTAGGGAACTTCTCATAATATAACATATCCAAAATTCGACTTTCGTCGACGACATATGAGATGTTAAAATATTTTTCAAAATCTCGCAACGACTCGATTTAGGAAGTAACCCAGCGCAGCATACTTAAGGTGGCATATAAAATTCCGTAGTCATTGGATTGACATGATTTTGAGTTTATTTAGTCTCTAATCCATGAGACAAATCCCACTGGTTTTGTCCAAAAATCCCAAGTAACGATTAAGTTACGAATTTTTTAATTTCTATGGCAGAAACCGGAATTTTCAGAAAACAGCGACACTATGTTTACTTAAAGTGACATATAAAATTTTACCGACATCAGATTGACATGATTCTAAGTTTATTCAGTAGCTAACTTATGAGGCTATCAAACACCATTAGTTTTGTTCAAAAATTCAAAGTAACAAATTAGTTATGAATTTTTAAAATCTGAGCAGAATCTGAGCATAATATATTCATAAGAAAATGTTCGTAGAAATAGTTTCATATACGATATCCATAGAAAAGTAATTAATAGGAAACGCAAATAATTCATAATCAATTTAAAGTTGTTAATTCACCGACTTTTCCATGTCAAATTGCATCTTCAACCGTCACCATCCGCGCCCCCAAAAAAGGAACAAAATCAACCTGTAAGAAGGGATTTTATCCATGAGTTTGAAACTCAATAGATATCATCAGTGCATTTTGTAATCAAATTAGAAAATTCGAACCATGGATTCATACCGTCGCACGTAGGTGAATTTTCGGCAAAATCCGATATCTATAGCATTATCATAACACGTAGAGTCGGAGAATGATCATTCAAACTATAGTAGTGCCGAAACACCGTACCCGGAGGTACCATTTCATTTAACTTTTAACGAAAAATGAAATTTGAACGAAATAACACTTGCACCTCAACCTACCTTCGTTTGATGCTTTTGAATTAATGAAGTTGGTTGGTGAATGTTGTTTCCTGATGGAATCCAAAGCTTTTCCATTTTTTATTTTTTTTTTGAAAATTTTTTCTGTGATCAAAGTTGCACCCATTTTTTTTTTTTTTTTGTGAAACTTGTATAAAAAGATATGTATGAAATGGAATAGGAATAATTTGGAGAAAATGAAAAATCTACACTTTATTTGTCTTTAAAAAAAACGGTGGAATCACCTAAGGAATTGAGAGTAAAGTGCAATTACATTTGCATTAACTATTGGGTTGTTTTATATCACATATATATAATATAAATTAAAGGAATGTGAATAATTTGAAGTAGACGAAAAATCAATCCAAATTTCAAGAAAAAAACGTTGGCAGCATTTAACAATCAAAGTTACACTCTATGCCTTTTTCATTTCCACTCAATTTAAAAGAACTTGAATGCATTTTAAAACAAAGAGTTTAAGTTGCATAACATGTGATCACGTGTGTGTATAGTTTTGGGATTTAAATGACTCATCTATACCAACTAATTAGATTAATTGTTTGACCAGTCAATCTAAAGTTATTTTTAACGTGTAGTTGTTATGTGTGTGTATATAATAATACATATTTGTCATTTTAAAAATAACATGTATGCAAATCAATTTTATATTTTTTTCTATACATAAAATAAATTTTCACTGTCCGGTCCAATCTTTGGAAAAAAAATATTAAATTATACCGTCCAACTTCATCAAATAATTTTGAAAAACATGTATGGTGGCTGAACCTGAGTTGCGCGTTGGACCACCATAAGATTGTAAATAAATTCATTTTAAAACATATTGGACTAATATTGTGCTTTCATTTCTTATGTGGGTTGAGCATGAGATTCATCTATAGGCTAGGCTCCTGATATTAGATCGTCACATTAAAGTATGAGCCTAATTTCATTTTATTTTTTCAGGCTTCTACAATGACCACCTCAAAACCTTAGAAATGAGTGTGTTTTTGTGTTCAAAGAAGTTATCATGCAATTCTTTCTAACAAAGAACAAAATAGGGAATGTTTGGTAAAATATGTTATATATAAAATTCAAAGCAGTATGTAGGGTCATACGTAAACTCATATTCTACTTTTTCCAACTAAAGGCGCTCTACAGATATGCGACTTTAGTTCAAAACACGTATGCAAGCAAGACCGGACTCTGAGTGGTGTTTGGGGTCCGGGGGCGGGGTGGGGCGGGGGGTTTGCAGTCTAGATCGTTCTGGAATCATGTTTTGTAAACATGCGAAGGCGTTTCCATTTACATTTTAGCCCTCTTCGGATTATTTATTTGCCTGCAAACTTTGTACAATTCGGAACCAGTTTCGCTCTCACGACAATTTCTCCAATTTCATTTGCTGCATCTACAAGGTTCGATTTCGAGATAACATTCGGTGTTCAATTCTGTTTTTATGTTTATTTTTCTGGACTTGTGATTTCTTTCTTTCTATCAATACAAACCCTAGGCGGAGTTCTCAATTCTTATGGATCAGAATATATAAGAACTTTTTGACTGAAATTATTTATTGCATTTGCACTGATTTTATGTTTTGCCGATGGTTTCATCACTGTTGTTAAATCTGAAATTTCTACTTTCGATCTTCCTCAAAAAAAAATTCCTTGTTTGCCCAACACTTAACTTCTAATGTTTTCCGTTGTTTCTATTTCCCCCGATGATATGGGTGCGAGATTAAGTATAGGATTTTATTTTTATTTTTTTAGTAATTTCGAATTTGAGGACGTTTGCGGCGTTGCTTTTTGGCATTGAGCTATTGCTTGGTTAAATCCCCACAAATGGCTATAAAGCTATGTGCTTGTTTGAATGTAGTTCATGTCTTTTTCACACCTGTTAAATTCATCGAACTTCTGTTTCCCTAAATGTGCTGAAATAATAAATTCTCCATATAAATAAAATCCAACTATAGCCCTTTCTCAAATTACATTTGTTAAAATAACATTATATTGCAGTGATGTAGGAAGCTCATAAAGGAATATTCACAAATCTCTAGTGAAAGAGAGGGAGAACGATCAAAGAAATGGGAGAAAATAATGATAAATTTGGGGGAGAAAGAATTTCTTATTGATATCCAAGTTTAACTATTACAATGCATAGATCTTCTTTATAGTTTACACATTTTGCCCTTGTTTGAACCCCATTTTTTGAGAATTTATTTTGTAAAAAGTGATTTTTAGAAAATGTATAGTTAGAAAATAAGGAAAAGTTTTGGATTTAAGTGCAAAATTTTTTGGTAAGAATGTTTGAAGAGTGTGGACAAAAATGAGTTTTAAAGAATGGGCTCGAACATGGCTTAATTTAAGTTGAAAATAAGGAAATGAAACCTATTTTAAGCCAAACTAGAAAATTATAATAAAATGAATTAAGTAAATTTGAATCAAACTATGCCCATGTTTGGTGGGAATTAAAATCAAATTTTCAGTAGATTTTGATCAAAGTTAATGAAATGTGTGGTTGAAAAGTTATGAGTCTCATGAAATTTGTGATTAAAATCATTTCTTGTCTTTGATTTAGATTAAAATCTAGATTTTAAACCCTACCAAACGGGGGCTATATTTATTCTTGATCTATTAAGAATTCCTTCTATGCTAAATCTGCATTCCTCATCACAGAGTTAGATCTTAAACTAAGAAAATAAGGTTTCACATTGCTTCTAAATAACCGGGGTTTGAAATTTATGCTAAATTTATACAATCTACTATCGTGTTGACAAGTATAACAGAACCTGGAATTCAATGTATTACTCCTCTTTTACTTATTGTTCATGATGTTGACTACCTTTTATTTCTTTTACTGATGGTGTTTATTTTTCTCTAGTTGAATGCCCTTGAAGTCACATGGCAGATCAACAACCACTTGAAGGTTCAAGTTTGAGTGATGTCTCTGGTGGAAGTTCTCTGTCAGCTTTGGAGCTTAATATCAAGACCCTTGATTCCCGGATTTTCAGCTTTCAAGCAGATAAGAATGTAAGTTCTTATTTTTGATGTCTAGGGATGTGTGTGAAATATTATGGGAAGCATGGGGTCTGTGGTCTGCCTGGAATCTTTATCTCCCAAGTGAATCACTAGAGAAGTTTCCTAGGAAACAGATGCTTCTCTCTCGGGCATTTTCAATGCCCCACACCCCAACATACACAACCAAAAAAGAAAAAGGGAGAGAGGAAGATTTTTGTATATTACATACTGACTGCATCGGCACTCTCTAACATGTTTTAGATTTACATGATTTCAGATGGCAGTATCATCATTCAAGGAAAAAATAGCTAGTCAAATCGGTGTCCCCATTGGGCAACAACGTCTCATTTTCAGGGGGAAAGTCTTGAAGGATGATCACGCTCTTTCTGAATATAGTATCCTATCAATTGTGACTGCACTGATCTATTTTTCTGTTTGATCTTGTAGTACGAAGTAAAATATCAACCAGTGTCTGTTAAAATGAAATCATTTCTGTCTTCGTTTGATTCCATTGTTCTTTTCCCTTTAGGAATTTTGACTAACTTCCCATTTATCTGTCTAACACTGGTTTTAAGATAGATTTGGGTGCCTTCATTATTCACTAAAGGACTATGACCTTCCAAGATGTATTTTCATTTCGTTGTGTTCTTTTCTCTGATCTCACTTTTTTAGAGTGCCGGAATAGTGATTAATGTTTTTGGTTCATGTGTCATATACGGACCTCCTTTTCTTTTTTTTCTTTTTTCTTATTTTTTATTTTTTGGCCAGCGTGTGAATATATAAGTAGTGATAAATAAAAAGGAATTCTAGACATGATTTTATATTAGAAGTAAAGCACGACTTCATTAACCTATTATATATTGGGAACCAATCCTGAGAAATATCTACATATATACTAGCAGGCTGCACTCGATCTAAATTAGAATGATTATGTACGGTCTCGTCTTTTTTATTTATTTTTTCTTTTTGGGAAACAAATATCTCAGGATTTGCATGTTAAGCATGAAACCGTTGGTGACCATGATCCTGAGAATCATTGGAATGTGGTTTTCAATATTCATTCACATGTAATATTATTTTTGATGTACAATCAAAATTTTTTTATTTTTTTATTTTTTTTTCCTTTTGAGCTTGCTATTACCTGCATGGTTCTTCTCTCATAATTATTTTGTTGAAGTGAAAAATGTATATTAATAAAAATTACCTGTGTGTGAAAATTTCTTTCTTTGGTTTTCGAATGTGAGAAAACTATCCTGTTTATCTTGTACACGTCTATGGAAACCTGCATATGTTCTGTTACCTACATGGCTTCATTATACTTAACTACATAATAGATGTGGAAAATGGGGATACATTACATTTAGTTGAAAGGCAGCCGCAGCCCTCTCCTGGCAGTGTTACTGAAGAGGCTGTGGCAAGTAACGATAACAGAGGTAGTAGTTTGTTATATTGTTCATATATATTTATGTTGTACAATGTGTTTTTGGGTTATTGTCAAATGTTGTTCAAGAATTTTTATCGTTTTGTTTTGGTTTCAGGCCAAGAACATCCTACTGGTGGTCCTCGCAACCGCATTGGACAAATCACACACAGTGTAGTACTAGGTACCTTAAATGTTGGAGAACCTGGGTCTGGGGAAGCCGGTGTACCAGATCTTAGTCGGGTATGTTGGGTGGTTTCGTTGACTATCTTGCATATGCATGATAAACAGAATTATGTTCACTGGTATTTGTGCACATTTTAGGTTATCGGAGCCGTGTTGAACTCTATTGGAATTGGCAACCTGGCAGGCGGTATACAACCGGGCATGCAGGTGAGATTGCTTTTCAACATTCTTTCCAACCTTAGCCACTCTTAAAGTAAGTCTAATGTGTTTACATATATTTTTTCTTTTATAAAGGGCATTGGAGTGGGTTCTGCAGATTCCACGATTATTTGTGCTTAATATATTTTGACGAGCGGTATAGTAGATACTGTTTAACTGGAGATTCCACTTTAAGCCCCCGTTTGGCCCCCATTCTGTTTTTTTTTTTTTTTTTTTTTTTTTTGGGGGAAAAATGAGTGGTTGAAAAGGAAGGAAAAATTTTCGGTCTACATATAATATTATTTTATGGAGGATTGTGTGGTTGAAAATAGAAGAAAGAAAAATAAAATGTAATAGAATGGAATTTAATGGGGGCCAAACGGGGGCTAAATATATATTGCTGCATGGAAGTGTCTGTGGTATGAATAGCTATTTTTGTGGGCTTGACTTTCTTTGGTCTCTAGCAACAGAATTTTGTCTCCATGTGTTTCTCATATTAAATGCAGTGTTTGGTAAGTGTCTATAAGCACGGATACTTGTAAACTCATTAATATATATCCAAACTTGGATATTCTCTGATGGATTCTGCTACACTAACAGGGGCAAAAAACAGGGGTTATCTCCAGGCTGATGTGTAGTGTTTTCGCAAGTCCATTTCCCTCCATTTTAATCATTTTGTAATTAATTATTCAAGGACATGTCACCAAATTTTAAATCCTTGTCAACAGCCTGTCAATGACCCTGTCTGGCTAGGTTTATTGTTCTCTGATGCGTACTGTATATATGTTTTTTAATTATTTTATATTTTTAAAATTTTTTTATATGTATTGGATACTTTTTTTTAATTATTTTTATACGTATTTGATATGTTGGGACACTTGAAGAAGAGTGTTCTTGGTTTTAAACTTTTTTAAAACTCGTTGTTATTGACGTAGATTTTTTTTTCTTATTGTTATTATCAATAACTTATTGAATATTAATTATATTTATTGAAAATACACAATTAAAGTTAAAAATTAATTGACAACTAGACTTTTTATTGTAAATACATAATATTATTTAATCTTTTAATACATATGAAACCGTGTCAACAGTTGACAAATGTATTTTTACTATTAGAAATGGATAATAATTAGTATTAAATAATTGGAGTACATACTTTTTTGTGCATTTTATGAGAATGAATAAAATAACTCCACCACGAACTCAAGAATTGATTTTCATTCATAGCTATCTTCGTCTTTTATCAAGAAAATTAGATCTTTATTTAAAAGGAGAATTCAAAATGTGATGTCGGAGACTCATTTGATATTATTGAAGGCATTGGATTGCTTGAGGTTGTTAATCTATGAAAAGCCGTATTGGTGTACCCGTATCATGTCGTATTTGAATTATGTATCCGTATCTGTGCTTCTTAAGTGTCTATGTACTGTTTGAATTACAAGTAGATAGAAATGAGTGGTTACGAGTGGGCAAGACTGGTGGATTCGGATATAAAGTAGTTTGACTGAAACACAAGCCACCTACGGGCTCTTGTTATCTCTCATTTAATATCTTTTGGTTAATTAATGCGCTTACTAAAAGTCTTACCCTTTTCTTCAGGCATCATATGGAAATGAAACGGAAGGGTCACAGGTTAATGCTGGTAGTCAGAGTCAGGCTGGAAATCAATCTGTCCCCATGCAGTCTCCTGGTCAATCTGCTCCTCATGCAATGCAAATTCCTCTAGGAACAGCAATTAATATTCCTTCACTCAATATGGTAGAATTTTCTCCATTTTCCACCTGTGTTTTTGAACTTTTGACTCATATGGTTATATCCTAATTTATTATTTTTCTCCTTTTGATCAGCCAATTCCTGATTCGTTGAACACACTTTCCGAGTTCATGAGCCGAATGGAACAGGCATTCACCCAAAATGGTAACATTGTTGGCTTCTTTTGCATTTGGTTTTGTTGTGAAGCATCTCTAAATTTGCCTACGCTGTCTGTTTATCTAGGGTATCAGCCAAACCAGTCACCTAATGTTAGCAGCGATCCACCAACAGCTGAATTGCCTTCAAATTCTCGTGGTCCACCAACACCAGCAGCCCTGAGCATTGTCCTGCAACATGCCCAACGTCTTCTTAGTGGCCCAACCATTTCGGCATTATCTGTAAGCACCACCTTCTTCAGATTATCCTGTTCTTTTTGTTTCCATTGTCCTATCTTTCACCTGGTATGTGCTTGTGCTGGTCATTTTGTCTCCAAATGACTTAAATCCTTACAATTTTCTGTATGCACACATTTATAGCACATTGCAGGCCGTTTAGACCAAGAGGGGGGTTCTACTGATACAACAGTAAGGGGACAGATTCAGTCGGAATCAGTGCAGTTAGGTATTGCAATGCAGCATTTGGGTGCTCTTCTTTTGGAGCTGGGGAGGACAATTTTGACTCTTCACATGGGACAGTCTCCTGTATGTTCATTTCATCTCCCCCAGTCTATTCCCATTTTCTGAATCAAGTTATTAACTATCTCAGGATGGTCATGCAGGCTGAATATTTTCTGAATTCTGGGCCTGCTGTTTATATATCTCCATCGGGGCCTAATCCTATAATGGTTCAGGTTTGTAATAAATTCAAGTCCTTGTTCTTTGTATAAGAGTCAAAAGTGTTGTACTATAGTTCGAATCTTGTGCTGTTCTGAATGTGCATCAATGCTTAACTGTTGGTGTTGGGGATATATGTCTGAGGTCAGGAAATTTTTAATAGTACTTTAAAATTTGATTGCGCATGTCAATTGAAATTGTTTTAACTTAACTGTGGAACAACGGGAGATTAGATCTCATAGAGTTCAATTCCCGTTCTCAACCTATAACCAATATCAGCTCGAAGTGGAAACTTCTTCATAGTAGCTCCCTTCCATGCCTCATTTCAGAGGGAAACTCAGACCGGCTCTATTTCAATATATTCGATAGTTGATTTTACCATTTGTTTTTAATTTGTTTTTAATTTATATTTTTTTGGGTGATGGGGTCAACTTATGGGGCGTGTTATTTTTGGATCGAAATTTGTTACTGGCTGTGTAGATTTAGTTCCATGGGTTTTGTATGTTGCACAGTTCCCTTGATCCTACCATGATGTGACTTTTTTTATTCTTCCTATATTTTACTACTAGTAGGGGGTATTTTTGAGTCACCTTGACCATTTTTAAATGCAATTAATCTATTTTCATATCAAAATCTACTTTGTTTTGAGAAATGCACTTGAAAAAAATGAGAGATACAATTTAAGATATAAAAAGTTGTATGAGTTATTACATGAAATTTAACACTGAGTATATTGGGAGGCTGGGAATACTACTATGTACTGGCTGTGATGGTTAATGTTCTAATCATAAATTGACTTCTCATACTCTCATTTACAGCCTTTTCCTCTCCAAAGCAGCTCCCTTTTTGGTGGTCCAGCTGGCTTTCCATCTAATCCTGTGGCTCCGGGTCCAGTTGGGATTGGCAGTGTACCGAGGAATGTAAATATACATATTCATACTGGTATGTGGAATATAAGAAAGCATAGGTTATTTGGTTCAGAGATAGGTTGCATCATTCTCATTTGATTTGTTGGAATACATTTGTAACCAGGGGCATCACTGGCACCTATAGTTTCTAACCTGCGTAGCAGGGCACCTAATGGAGAAGGAATGCAGGGAGAACATGTTAACGGAATGACTTCTGGTGATTCTGGTCAATCACAGGTTTTGTCAGGGAGAAATTTTATTGCAACCTCACGGCCCTCTGTTGTTTCAGTTTCTGGTGCTGTTGGTGGTGGTGTTTCGCAGGCTCCGGATTCTGGTTCATTTAACAATGTAATAGCTGAAATCAATTCTGAGCTTAGACGTTTTGTTGCGAATGCAGGCAATGAAAATCATGCCCCATCAGGTTTGCTACGTGGGTATTTATTTAATGCTTTGTGATAGCGTATGCGCTTTACTGAAGTAATATCTTGTGAAGGCCAATCTGAAGATTCTACTGGTGGAGAACAATCGGCTGGTTCTGGTACTAGAAATGATGATACAGGCAGTCAACAACTGAACTCGTCCAGCAATGGGGATGAGGAGACCAGTACTTCATCTGTTCCTTCCACGATAGGCAATCAGAAGGTCCATTTTGTATATACTTGGACGTGGTTTGGTTTTTGTTATTGCCAACAGTTGAACTGACTGACTTCTAACTGCAGACAGAACCTCAATGCCGCCAACCATGTAATACTGAGGACATGGGAGGTGTTGTGAACTTGAAGAGTGAACCTTCCAATAGTTTTGCCGGAGGCTCTCATAATTGGTCAAATAAATCAGACCTTGCCATTGAGGGATCTACAAGATCTAATCAGGGTAAAGATATTTCTGATGGTTCTTCATCAGGTGTGCCTATTGGACTGGGACTGGGAGGCCTGCATCCTAAGGTAGGACGCTGCTTTTGTTTGTCACGTCAATATTGTCTTCGGTTAATGTTTGGGCTCAGATCAAATATAGGTGCATGCCACTTTGTAATACATAATTAATAAATAGTGCATAGATTAGTTGTTTAATTACTGCCAAGGGATTCCTGTAAAATTAACTTTCTTTTCACTACAAGGCATCATTATGTCAAATATTTGTCCCATTCATATATGCTTCCTGAAAAATCATTGTAGTCTCCGTACTAGCTTGGATTTTACACCAAATTTGGTTCTGAATCAGTTCAATGGTTACAGTTTCTCCCTTAAACGTTATGTTCATCCAGATCATTTTGGGTTTCAAATTTATATGTTACTTAGCTTTCTTGTGCTTTCTGCTTGTTTACTCACTATTTATGTGTAAAATGTGATAGAGACGAAGTAGGCTACAAAGAGCACAAAGCAAGAACAGTGATGATGCAACTGCTAGTAATCGGATTGAACAATCTAGAGCTGTTGGACAGCAGGTTTTGCAATCTCTTGCATCGTTCTCAACGAGGGAAAATGTAAATACTCCTCCCTTAGGGCAATCACAAGATTCACAACAACCTCCCAGGGGAGTAATGTCGAGCACGCCGATGGCAGGACAAAATGTTGAGGGCCAGGATGATGTAGCCAGCTCTATGTCTCATATCCTCCAAAGTCCTGCTTTAGATGGTCTACTGGCTGGAGTTTCACAACAAACTGGGGTTGGTTCCCCTGATATGTTGAGAAATATGTTGCAACAATTTACTCAGAATCCAGCAATGAGGAGTACTGTCAATCAACTTGCTCAACAGATTGACAGCAACAATCTTGGAAGCATGTTTTCAGGTTTCAATAGAGGCCAAGGTGGTGGCATTGATCTATCAGCAATGATGCAACAAATGATGCCTATTGTTTCTCAGGCTCTTGGAGGTGGTTCCTCTGTTGCCCAACCAAATCCTCCTTTGGAATCTGGGATGTTCCATAGTAGGTCCGGGAGCGATATGTCACCAAGTGAAGAGGACTCTAAGGTTTGTGCCTTAGAACAGATGGAGTATATGTCGGAAAGATAGATGTACACAAGCGCACACATAAAGATGCTAGTACTTGCATGATTGGAGCATGTTTGCTAAGCTCAAGGGGGAAAATTACTCTCTATCATTTTGTTTATAAAAATATGTCTGGATATATTGCATTTATTTCTTTTACTTTTTAACTTACTGTTTAACTCTTAAATTGTTTTCTAATGTGTGAAGTAATTTATGCAATTTTATATTGCAACTTGAACAATCCAGTTATATTTAGGATTTCACAAATTTTTGGTTGTCTAAATTGTTGCTGTACCTGCCTAGTTTAAGTTCGCAACTGCAGTTGTCCTAACATTTGATATGTTTCCCCTTCCAATATCTATTAAGTAAAGGCTTTATAAAATTATTTTTATGACTTATTGATCGTGCTTTACTATGAATACCTTTATCCAGTGTATTTTCTTTCCTTCTTTACACTTGAAAATATATGTTTTTGAGTTTCTCGCATTGCATTACTTTTTACTTTTCATTTTGTGTCAACATTGTTTTTCTACTTTTACAAAATTATGGTTTAGTTTTGGAATGAAAATATTACACTTCTATAATGACTGTAGCCACACCACGATACTTATGATTGATAATTGATAAATTATAAAGTTCTCCTTTGAATATCTCATCCAGCAGACTGAACTTCGACAAGTTGTTCAGAGGCTTCAAACCCAAAATTCAGCTGGAGAAATTTTCCGCTCTGTCGTTGAAAGTGCTGTGCATCAGTATGGTCACGGAAGTGCTGATCTTGTAAATGAATTATGCAGTGAAGGGAGGCTTGCACATGTAAGAATTACGTCTTTCACTATTATTCACTTGATTTTAATTGTGCAGTGAAGGGATATTTGTATTTACATGTCTCTTTATTTTCGCTGACTTGCAGGAGTTCATGCAGATGCTCAGTCATGATATTTCCCAAAGACTTCAAGATGAAACAGGATCATAGGCAAAAGAAACGTTTTTTTGCCTGGTATATACCCCTTGTTATGCACGGTGGTACGCTCTTGTATGTTTATCCAACTTTTAAGCTACCAGAAAAAGAATGCCGTAAGAAGTAGCAGGGTATGATTTATTTAAGTTCATAGACATCAGTGACGAGATGAATCTTATGTATACATGATAGAGTGGTGCGAATTTCTTGGGGGTACAGTTGTAATATTGCAACTTGAATGTCGTGTTTTCTCAGAGACTGAAGAATTGTGCTGTTTCATTTGCAAGAGGGTTCAATATAACTATTGATATATTCTGAGCTGCACATCTTAACGTCTTCGTGGTTTGTTTAATTTTTAAGTTTCCTTTTGCCTGCTATTGAGCCTTCACAAAATCGGTTCATTAATTTCATTTATGTTGACAATCTTGCCATGATCTTGATGAAAGGCAATGCCTTTCATATTTCTTTGTGGGATGTAATGGTTGGATGAGTCTTCCGTGTCAAGAATTTGTTGATTCTTGCCTTCAGAACAGAATGAACAAAATGACTATATAGGATGGTGTCATGGGAGCTGTCAAAGAATTTATGGGATTGAGGTTTCACGTTTTAGTGCAACAGCAAATAGATTGCATTGAATAAGGACTGAAATGAGCTGATTAGCTAGCTAGAATTCGACCGTGCCATGTTGCCTACAAACCAGCATCTATAATCCATAGCCACCTAATCGAACGGGCAATGTCGTCATCAAGTAAACAAACATTGCATGCGTCATGTCAGTGCCAAAAGAACACACCACAAGTGCATTGCCTCTGCCAACATCTTAACATAAAGGTCGATGACTGAACCTTCGAATTATATAATCACAAAAATAATAGTATTTTAATTCCCTGTAATTACGTTCTCTTGATTGAAATCGAATGATTAATGTAGTGACCTCCTTAATTATTATTCACTTGAGCCCGCGATTTCTGTCACAGTTGCTGCAAGATCACATCATGTTTATTTAGTCTTTGTTAAATACTGAACTTGAATTTAAACTGCTCGGAAGAAAATCCTTGTGCAA